CTTTCCTCTCAGGAATGCTTTAACTGCATCCCCAAGTTGTGATATATTTTCATTTTTATTCAATTCTAACAGTTCACTTAGTTTTCTTTTGAAACTTTCTCTTCACACATGGATTATCTAGAAGTGTGTTGTTTAATTTCCAAGTGTTTGGAGATTTTCCTATTATACCCCCACTGTTGATTTCCAGTTTGATGCCATTACGTTCAAATAATGTACTCTGTATAGTTTTAATTCCTTTAAATTTTTTGAGGTTTATGATCCAGGATATAGTCTACCTTGGTGAATGTTCCATAGGTGCTTGAAAAGAATATGTATTCTTGTTGTTTTGGGGTACAGCGTTCTATAAATGTCTATTAAATCCTGTTGACTGATGGTGTTTAGTTCTATATCCTTGCTGACTTCCTAGTGTTTCTATCAACTATTGACAGAGGGATATTGAAGTCCCCAACTATAATTATAGATTTGTCCATTTCTCCTTTCAATTTTATAATTTTGTTTCATGTATTCTGAAGCTGTTTTTTGGTGCACATATTTTCATAATTGCTATGTCTTCTTGGCATATTGATTATCATTATGTAGTGTCCCTCTTTGTCCCTGTAGTTTTCTTTGCTCTGAAGTCTATTTTATTTGTTATTAATATAATCACTCATGCTCCTTTTAAAACTAATATTTGAATGGTATATTGTTTCAACTACCTATATCCTTATAATCGAAGTTAATTTCTTGTAAAGGGCATATAGCCATATTTTTATGTATACTCTGCCAACTGTAATCCTTTAGTTATTGTATTTGGAACATTTACACAAACAGTATATCTTAGATATCACTCTCAATAAATTCATAGAGAAATTCTTCATTTTTTTATGGCTGCAAAGTACTTCATTGTGTGGATATACTATATTATTCATCTACTGTATTAGTATTTAGATTGTCCCTAATATTTTGCAAGTATAAACAATGCTGCAATGAATAACCTTGGGTGTGCACATTTTTGTATTGATAGAGGTATATTTTCAGGGTACATATGTAGAATTGGGATTGCTGAGTCAAAAGGTAAGTGCACTAGAGCAACAACTAAAAAAAATATACAAAGAGAGACACTCAAAAACTACAGATAATCAGAATGGAATTCTTAAAAATGTTCAAGTAATCCTCACAAGAAAATAAAAAGGGAAACAGGAGATAAACAAAAAGTAAATAATAAAGTTACAGACAATTTCAATACTTAAATGTAAATGTTTTAAAATAATCACTGAATGTTAAGAAATTTCCTAGGTTATAGGCACATATAAAATTCTCACTAATGTCCTGAATATAAAGGTTAAAATTCTTTCTAGCAGCCTTATATTCTGTTAAAGTCTTTCAAATGAACTGTAAATGAGCTAATTAAAAATATAATCAAAATCAAAATATAAATGTGAATTAAAATTCATTTGCCTACTTTGGAATGCCAAAGCAGGCAGATCACTTGAGCCCAGAAGTTCAAGATCAGGCTGTAAAACATATTGAAATCCTGCCTCTGAAAAAATACAAAAAAATTAGCTAGGGCATAGTGGCACGTGCCTGTAGGCTCAGAGTGTTGGGAGGTTAAGGTAGGAGAACTGCTTGAACACAAGAAGTTGAGGCTACAGTGAGCCATGAGCCATGATTGCACCACTGTACTCCAGCCTCGGTGACAGAGGGAGATCCTGCCTCAAAGATTATTTCAAAGAGTAAAAAAAATTCAAATATAGAATGCATATACTATTTTTTTTTCTTTTACTTTGAGGCTGGGTCCACATGCTCAATCATGATCTAAACTCCTTAACTATCCAGTTATTATCCCACTCTCTCAAAATACTCTCCTTCATCAAATAGGTCACCAATGTTAGTACCTCTTAAAGAATACTATATACAGTCATGCATCATTTGATGGGGACTTTTTTTTTTTTGAGACAGAGGCCTTTTTTTTTGCTCAGGCTGGAGTATGGTGGCACAATCTTGGTTCACTGCAACCTCTGCCTTCTGGGTTCAAGCGATTATCCCACCTCAGCCTCCTCAGTAGCTGGGATTACAAGCTAATTTTTGTATTTTTTATAGAGATGTGGTTTCACCATTGTTGGCCAGGCTAATTTTTGTATTTTTTGTACAGAAGAGGTTTCACCAGGTTGGCCAGGCTGGTCTTGAACTCACAACCTCAGGGGATCCATCGCCTCGGTATCCCAAAGTTCTGGGATTACAGGCATGAGCCACTGCACCCGGCTGGGGATATGTTCTCAATGATGTGTCTTTAGGTGATTTCACCTTTGTGTGAACATCATAAGGGTGTACTTACAAAAACCTAGATGGTACAGCCCACTATTCATCTAGGCTATATAGTATAGCCTATTGTTCCTAGGCTACCAACCTGTACAGCATGTTACTCTGCTGAATACTGTAGAAAACTGTAACACAAACTGTAGAAGAAGTTTGTAGAACTGTAAAGTTCTACAAACTTACAAATACTATATACTTAGGTTACACTCAATTTAGAAAACAGTTTTTCTTTCTTCAATATTAACCTTAACTTATTGTAACTTTATAAATTGTTTTTAAACTTTTTGACTTTTGTAATAACACCCAGCTTAAAACAAACACACTGTATATCTGTAAAAAACATGTTCTCTCTATCCTTATTCTATAAGCTTTTTTCTATTTTTAAAAATTTTTATCTTTTTTACTTTTTAAACTGTTTTGCTAAAAATGAAGACACAAATACACACATTAGCCTAGGACTACAGAGAATAATGATCATCAATATCACTGTCTTCCACCTCCACATCTTGTCTCACTGGAAGGTCTTTGGACCAATCACACGTATAGAGGTGTCATCTCCTATGATAATAATGCCTACTTCTGGAATACCTTCTGGAGGACCTGCCTGAGTCTGTTTCACACTTAACTTGTAAAAAATATAAGTAGGAGTACACTGTAAAATAATAATAAAGTACAGTAAACACATAAACCAGTAACAGTAATTTATTATCATTATCAAATATTATTTACTGTACATAGCTGTATATGCTATACTTTTATATGACTGGCAGCGCAGTAAGTTTGTTTACATGAGTATCACTACAAACATACCAGTAGTGCACTGTGCTCTGACATTACAACAGCTAAGATGTCACTAGGAGACAGGAATTTTTCAGCTCCATTAACGCAATTTCTATGGGATCACCATGGTATATGGTATATGTCCATTGTTAACCAAAACATCATTATGGGGCACATAACTATAATGGTTTTGAAGTGGGAGCACAGGAAGGGGCAGAGAGTATAAAGACACAATTTTCAAAGTTATATGCTGTAAAATAGACTAAGAATATTCGTGATTGTGTTGCTTGTGTTTGAAAGCACAGTAGAGCAACTGTAGTTAACAGGAATGTACAGTGTATTTCAAACAGCCAGAAAAGAAGATCTGGAAGGTCCCTAATACAAAGAAATGATAAACGTTTGAAATGATTAATATCCCAGTTACCCTGATTTGATCATTATACATTGTATACAAGTATCATTAAAACTCATGTACTCCGTAAATACATACAATTATTATGCATCAATAAAAAAAAGTGAAAAGCTGGTTTGTTCCGGAGTCTTCCTATATACTAACATGGTCTGCTGTCAATCATTGCCTGAAGGGTGAAGTTCAGTAGCTGTTCAGGGCACAAGATACTGCTATTCTCTTGACCCTTGATGCATATACTTTTTCTCTGTGCCAACTGCTACTGAATCTGGTGGGAGATTAATATCTGCTAGTCACGTGAGCTCTCTGCCATAGCTGCCACTGCCCAAAATGGGAAAAGTTTTTCACATATCACTTTGGAGAAGAATGAACTCAGTGTTTGGAAGACAACATCAATGCACCCTACTTAAAAACAAATTAGACTCCAGGCCTGTATGCTGGATGAATTATACTTTTCTTATAAAAATTAGTTTCCTAGGTAGTCCCAAAAATCTATTTAGTCTATACAGTGTTACAATTATCATGGAAAACATGAATATTGTTAATTATCAGTAATTAAATTTAATAAAAATCATAAAACTTGGAAAACTCAAATTAATTTCAATGCTAGTGATTGAAGAGAAGTAGTACTACTTAGAGCTATAATTCTTTTTAACTGCACCAAGGCATCTAGGACACAATGGCAAACTCACCAGGACACCACAGGTTATTTTAAATTTTCAGGCTGACATTTGTCAGACACTGAACAAATTACTACTATTAATTGTTTGGACCTAACTAATAAATGGGACTGTTAAGATCTTTCCTTTGGCCTATGGACACAGAAACAAGAAAGTCTGGGAACCTCTGCATTAGAGGGTAATGAGAAATGAGATAAAAATAGTGATGGAAGCTACATATTGGAGATTTCTGGGCGTTCTGAAGGATCTCAGTGGTTGATTTGCTCTTTATAAAATCTATACATTTAAAAAGTTATAAGCCATTTAAACACATAATTTATATCTTTTTTTATGTATGTTATACTTTAATAATTTTTTTAAAGTCATGTGTATTTTGGTACTACTTGTACAACTGTGAAAGCTTTTTTTTTTTTTTTAAAGGTCTTTGGAGGCCCATAAGCTGAATAGGGAAAGTAAATAAAGGAAGGGCACTAAAGTATTTTATTAAGCTAACAACAAAAAGTGAGTCAGAGAAAAAACGCTGAAGGTAATTTGTATAGATATAAGAAAATACATTAAATGTAATTAAGTAGTGAAACAGAAGATAAAAGACACTCTTTTTATACTTGATGAGCAGGACGTTGAGAGTAAATGACGTTCTAAGAAAAATGAGGTGAGGCTGGCCAGAGGCAGCCTGACTAGAGCAGGATATGGCCAAGAATTGGGAGAAGGTTTTATGACGGGTAACTACCTAAATGTTTGAGCATGCAAACAGTTATTAGGGCTTTGCCTTCAGCTTTTATAAGTCCCCACCAAGACACATATATTTTGACTTAAATAATAATGATGTTTCTCACCTGGATTTCAGTTCCAGAACTGCAGTTATTTCTTGTTTGGAAGCTTGTACTTGGTATAAGAGCTTAACAATATAGTTAAAGTGCTCTGGGTCAAGGACCATCCCAGCTTCAATAAGCTGTAGAAGAGAAAAGAGTGGTTATTCTTTTTTTTTCTTTTTTTTTTGAGACAGAGTTTTGCTCTTGTTACCCAGGCTGGAGTG